GGCATGGCCATTTTATGGAGCAACTTTCATCAGCTTTGTGCAAAAGGGTGAGATCTAAACACCATATGAAACAAAGAAATCACTTTCAGAATCTGCCACTTTCAGAATCTGTCATTACAGCGCTGAAAATGGTGGCGGAAGGCGCCTGCTGCAGCCGAAAGCTTCTGAAGGAATGCAGGATTATGTCATTACACACCTCCGCGATCGTTTGATGCAACACATGATCGAGGAGGTGTGCAATGACATCAGGGGTGATCCTGCATTCCTTCAGAAGCTTTTGGCCGCAGCACACGCGTGCCACCGTCTCCAGCACTGTATCGACATTCTGAAAGTGAGTATTTTTTTTGTAGCTTTACGAAAAAATGACCAAGACATTAGTGAGAGAACGTAAAATAAACAATTATGCAAGGGGGCTACAGAACATTGCAAACATTCTGAAAGTGAATATTTTTTTGTAGGTTTACGAAAAGATTGTAAAAGGGGTTCCCAAACTCTTCGTATATATTGGACCCAGGTCCAACATGGAGATTTTGGATAGTGAAAAGGCCATAAAACTAGTAGTCTTGACCCAAGACGCTAGTGATCCATAGTGGATGGTGCATATTGCACCACGGCACAACAATTAGACCAGCAGGCCTACTCGCACTAACGTCTCGGCCATTTCGTATCAGCGGTTTAACTTTTCCGTTATAATTTTGTCCATAGGCTTTCCTACGGAACCAATCAGCGATCGAGAAATAGTTCAAAGGCTCGCCCGGTTGTACGGGCTATATACACAGTGAAAGTGACCCAGCATTATATTGCTTTCCTAGGGAACCAATCAGCGATCGAGAAATAGTAGCTCGCCCGCCGGTTGTAAACATTCGCGAAGCAGTGATACAGGGCGCGAAGGCGCGACTACCGGTACAGTGGGAAATGGCAACTGCCATTTGCTTTTCAAATTTACAATGTACATAAAATTGTACATTTTCAAATTTACAATGTACATGTACATAAAATGGCCATGCCCACATTGCCACGAAATGACTAAGACGTTAGTGAGAGAACGTAAAAAATCAATTATGCAAAGGTGCTACAGAACATTGCGAATATCGCTCTCGATCACTGACATCTTGGGTCGAGACTGTAAAACTAGCTGCTAAAAGTATTTATAACCGTGAGGTGTATGTTAAAAATGCCACTAAAGCGCTGCCAGAAATCCTGACCATTTTAGTTTGTAACTTGAGTGCTGCAATGTACATTTGTAACTCAGGTGATGGATCGTTGGTGCCGTTCCAGACCAGAGAATCAGTTTCAGTTTCCTTCCTGTGCTGGGTGATCAATGGGAAATCAATCTGACTGATTATAGACCATCAGTAGGGTTATGATCCATTACCACAGGTTTCAATCATCACTCCAAACATGTGTTGTTATTTAAAGATGTACTGTCCTTGATATGCAACAAATTTGATTTTTGTTTCTCCCAGCACATATAAAACTTTTACATTTTATGTTAGTCGAAAAACCTTTCCCCTTATTTTCGGCATCATCAGTAACCCTCTGGAGAAAGGCTTTTATTTTAAAAGATACACGCTGCGAGTAGACGGGTTCCCAGTTCTTATATTATCAAATCTGATAGGAGATGGGAACCAGACGTCCCTGGGAGAACAGAAACATGGTTGGTCCGTAAACCATTCGAAATTCATTAAGTGATTACTCAATAACTAAAACATGAGCCATTTTCTTTTTCTGTAGGCCTAAAGTGTTTAATTTAAAAGTGAAATAACGTTTGTGTTGCTAGAAAATAGCAACTTCAAAACAAATTCGGGCCAAAACTCGAAAAGAGCATGGACATTATCTTTAAGATAAATTTTACATAAGGTACCGTATGGTAAGTTGTTTCGGTAGCACCATGTGGCAAAATCTCTTTTGTGAGTATGTGTGGTTCTGAAAAGAACCGGAGGATACTCATCTTAATTTTACATGTTCATCAGTGAGGATCTTTCAATATACTCCAAAACCACATTCATATAAGATTTTAGACAAGTTTGGGTACAAGTGCTCATGGACATCATATCGTTGCAGAGCTGACATACCGGCGAATCGACCATTTTGGCGATTTCGAGATTTTGTTATTTTTAGGGTTTATGAAGGTTGCTGTTTCAAGTATTTATGCCAAAATTCTGAATTTTTGTCTGGATTTTGAGATTCAGAGCCCCACTTGTGGCGAATCACTCACAAAAACAAATCCATAATTTGACATAGTGACGAATACGGAATTTCGCTGGTAACCAGCTTATGTAAGGTGTGCGCTCAAAGTACCATCGAATGTTATTCGCCAGTTTGTCGGATTGGCGCGCGCGTGCTCGCACGATCCGACAAACTGACGAATAGCTACAAGCAATTCGCTGGTAACCAGCTAATGTAAGGTGTGCGTTCAAAGTACCAAAAAAGGTTATTCGTCAGTCTGTGGGATTGCACGCGCGTGCACGCGCGATCCGAGAAACCGACGCGAATAGCATACAAACAGTGCGAAGAACAACCGGCTATTGGAGATAAGTGTAATTTGACAAACTGACGAATACGTTTACGATCAAATAAAATCATATCGTACAACTTCTCTGATTAAAAAGTGACCTGATAGATACTTATTTTCCTATTTTACTCCGAATACACACTAACAGGGTTTTTATCGAAACATTAAGGGTAAAATACGACGCCCAGAAAAACGTCCAACTTCAAACGCGAATTACTCGAAACAAGGTTTTCGCTTATTCGTCGGTTTGTCAGCTCTGCGACATCTGAATCTCATGGCTAGGACTATTGTCTACATGTACAGTAGTCTTTACCAAAATACCATTATGTGGGAACAAGCTGACAATAGACATAGAGGTAGCTCTGGAGGCCAGTTTCCGACACTACAATTACCGATGTTACAATACAAGTTAACTTCCAACATCAAGGATGTGGCTTTTATTTTAGTGTTTTTAAATGTATGAGAATAGATTAAAGAAAGGGCATGTGAACGGATGACAGCTGCATGGGCTGTGTACTGAGCTACCACCTTTTATCAGACCAGTTGGGTCCACACAGGACAAATAGGGCGCTGTACTTGGTTGTGTCTGGTTCCTGTGGTTCACTGCCTGTGGTGACATGTGGGGTCAGGGGTTCAAGTGTGCGGTGCCCCGTGTCTGTCAGTCTATTCAGCCTGGGCATTCTTCACTGTCAAAAGAAAAGGCTGGGAATCCATATCACAGATTTGTATTTTACTACATAAAAGGAGTTCGGCATTATAAAAAATAAAGTACATTTTGTAGATGTACATACTTTTTGTGTATCTATTTACAAATGTTGGGATGTCATTTCTGTTTGCAGTATTTTGTGGCGTACCTTATCTGAGTTTAGTTTACTTTTTGAGTCCAGGGCATTTCACTCTCTTCATAAGATTAGTTAAAGGGAATATCATCATTTGCTTTTGCTGTAATTTTCAGAAATGGATGGATTTGGGGGTTAGTATTTTATAGCAAATATTGTTACACTGACCTGTTTAAAGTTTTGTGCTCATGCCCGGTAGATACTTGGAAAAACAAAGAAAACAATTGCTTTTCTCAAGTTGTGGTCTGGTTCCCTAACCCCACTTCAGATGAAACGGAGCAATTTATAGACATTGGGAATTGTAAGGTTGGGGAACCAGTCTAGCTGGCTTGCACCCATTCAGGGATGTGTAACTACCGGGTACCGGTAATTGCAAACAACATTTAGACTAATGAAATTTGATAAATTGGGGGCACTATTTGAAGAAAAAAAAACATTTTTTTTTCAAATGATGGTCAGTAGACCATCGTTGGAAATTGATACAAAATTTCCACTTTTCTTGAAAATGACAGCACAAGTCAGGTGCCATGATTTCACAGGATGCTTGAGACTATTATTCACTAACAGTCAAGTAAGGTATTTCATTTTCATAATAATTTGGTAGTTTTGTTTTTTGAAGTTTGCAAATGTCTTGTTGTGCCTTTTAACCTTTCGGTGAAAAAATGGTGAAGCTGATTATCGAACTGAAACTGTATGGTAAAAGGACTTGCTGTACATTTTTCTTCGTTCTTATTCTTCAAAATGATTGACCACAATATTTTAAAGCAAAAAAACCCCTTAAAACAAGTTGATATCGATAAAAATGTCTGTTGTGAAAATGTGATGAATTTGAAATGTGCATTCAAATAATGTTACCTTTAAAGGCTTCAAGATTGAACCCTTGCCTGCAAACTGTAAGACAAGCCATCTAATTTCATCAGGTTTCCTGATAACAGTTTTGACATGCTCAATTCTGACGGCTAAACCATAACTTCTGTGAAAGGTGATCCAAAACCCCTGAAGGTTCAGATACAATTTTGCACATTGTAAACCAGACAGATTTGGCAATTTGTACCTAACCCGAAACTTTACTCGGGTTGTTTATCTCTTCCGTGGACTGGTATTACTTTCTTCAAAACATGTTTGTTAGATGAGAACACATAATTGTGTACAATTTCTGTCATATTTAATATTAGGTTTTTGCCCTTCACCGGCTTATAAACACTGTATACTCAGTGTGTTACCGGTACCTCCCGAGTGAAAGTTGGAAAAACTCACTCGGGTGGGACTCGAACCCACAACCTCCTGCTTTCTAGTGCAGACATCTTACCACTCGACCATCGAGCTTGCGTGATCGGTTGGCTGGTTCGAATCGGATGTAGCAGCGGGTACCGCAATGAAACTATTCATTTGAATAGTTTCTGGCGTTTTGCTAAGTAATTTCAAATTTAAGAAATTGGTGCCAGAAAGTGTAATGCTTGCCAAGTATTGTTGTAAAGATACCCCAAAAAAACCAACAACAACAACAACAACAAAACAAAAACACATCAAAACCAAAATGATATTTAAAAAAAGAGGATTCCAAACACTGGTAAAAGAAAAACAAGCTAAAACAAAAATTCTTAAAATTTAATTGTTTTTTTTATTCATTGTCTTTTCCCTCGTAGGCAAAGCGTTTTCCATCACCTACATCCGGCTCAAGTTTTACTCAGCGCGGCCGGAAAGTTTCGCCATCTACAAGCGCACGACCCACGACGGTCCGTGGATCCCCTACCAGTACTACAGCGGTTCCTGTGAGGCAACCTACAAGGTTTCCCGGTCTAACTTTGCCCCGACCAATGACGAGACCAGAGCGCTGTGCACGGACGACTTCAGTGACATCTCCCCACTGACTGGGGGCAACATAGCCTTTGGTACCCTCGAAGGCAGGCCTAGTGCTTTCAGCTTTGATGACAGTGAACTGTTACAGGTTAGCACATGCATATGAGTGAAAGTATGGACTCATTGTCGTGTAATTTTAAATATCAGAATCTGACAGAGTTGTTACGAGTCACTGATTTTTGTGACTCGAGTCGAGTCATTTTAAAGAAGTGACTCGAGTCAAGTCGAGTCATTAGGTAAAAAACGTCGAGTTGAGTCGAGTCAAGTATTTAGCTCGAGTCAATTCGAGTCACAAATATTTGAACACTATACAATAAATATACGCAAGTGAGAAATTAATTGTTTGGCTTTTTTAAGTTAACATTCCGGCAACTACCCCCAGTACATGTGGTGACACCTTTGACTCTTAATGAAAGTAAAAAGGGGGTTCCAGCTGATCGCCATTCAACTAATGGGGACACTGATCAAACCACGTACGTGTACCGGTATGTTTACATTATTCGCGAACATAGTATACTTGAAGTGAACAAAAACCGGCAACAGCATAAGTCATTGCAAATATGTTTCGCAAAGTTTTGCTTTTATTTTTGGGACTCGAGTCTTATTAGCCTTTCTCGAGTTGAGTCCAGTCATTCTGATGAGGGACTTGAGTTGAGTTGAGTCATTTGCTCGCAGTGACTCAAGTCGCGTCGAGTCATTTACCCGTCGGGACTCGAGTCGAGTCGAGTCGAGTCGCCAGAAATTGTGACTCGAGTCATACTCGAGTCAAGTCATTGACTCGAGTCATTACATCTCTGGAATCTGACAGTGAGGGCACTCTTTGCAAGAGGTCTCTAACAGTCGTTATGGATTTGCGAGTTGAGAATACCGGTACATGTATTACAGATATTAAACATGGCTTTAGTAAGTTCCCGGAGGCATTGGAAGTTGACAAACTTGTTTCCGAGTGTTCACCTGTGCCCACCACTAGGATAGTTGCACAATTATTCATTAAACCCTCCTATGCAAACATGCATTCTGAGCCATGCTGTCACTTGGGTCAAAATTGGTCAAGTGACCATTGGTGTGTTAAAAGTATAGCAGGGGAAGTGGAAGGAAACTTTGACTGTTGGTGACCTTTTAAACAGCAGGGGGGTTAAAAAAAAACCTAACTCCCTAGCATAATTTACTAGGAACCATACCCATCCTGGCAAATTCCAACACCATTATGGGAAACTGCATGCACATATTTCTGACTGAGATTCTGGAGGTGTGCCAACTCAATGTAAAAGACTGTCAGTTTAAAGGTACTGTACCCATCCTGACAGATTCCAACAAAACAGTCTGTTGGAGTTTGATGGGTTGGGGGAGGGTAGGGTTAATTAATGTGCAATGAAAAGAAATTTTGCTGCCGGTCAACCTGTGCAAAAGTCACTTGCGAACCAGTTTTGCCTCGCTGCATGATATCTTCAATTGTGCGCTGATATGTACCGGTAGGATGAACAATTGTTGTGGTGGTCACTTGACTTTTAGATTTTAGCTCTTGCTCATGAATATGTATGAGGCATGGAAATTTAGAGAGAATTTCCTAAAATAATGCTATGAAAATACTAATGTGAACTCATGAGTATGGTGAGGTTATTTTCATCTTAAATGACTTGGGTTAAAAAGACCTACTTAACTGGCCAAAAAAAAAATCGGATTTTGGAAAAATATTAAAATTGCCACATTATAATTTCAGTTTTTATTAAGAACAAATGAAATTCCTTCTCAATTTAATAATTGTTAGCTTTGACCACCCTTAAACACACCATTCGAGGCACAAGACTGTTGGATTACATTGGATTAGATTGGATTCAGACTTAACTGCTTTCTTTGTCTATCAGGAATGGGTAACTGCAACCGACATCCTGGTCATGCTGACCAGACTGAACACGTTTGGTGATGAGGTCTTCCAGGTACCAGACGTGCTCCGGTCCTACTACTATGCCGTCTCAGACTTCTCAATTGGGGGCAGGTGAGTCAACACATACAACGAAGGGTATAGTAGTCTAAAAAACAGATATGTACCGGTACACATGTAAATAAGAAGTTGAAAGTGTAATTGACCAGATTTTAAAACTGGATACTAGCCTTGCAGCTGCAGTGGCCCGAGCCGAAGAATGCCCTTTCAGTCAAAACCATTGAAAATTCGAAGAGTTGACAAGCTTCAGGTGATTTCGTTCTACCATTTTATTACTGTGTGTTTGGGCCATTTCTATAGTGTGTGGAACATGCGTGGTGTATCCAATCTCATGCGCTGTTGTAGCCCGCGCAGTGGGTAATGCATGCATGTGGAACTGAGCAGGTAGTTCTGTCTATCATGATAATTAATTCGTTCTTTGATAATATGCGAATCTGCATTGATGCGCCCGTGGATTCCACGCAGGGCCCGGGGTACATTACTTACATAGTGCCAAGGCTCTATTCAAAATGTGTTGTACAAAGCAGCAGGTACGCACATGTTCAAAACTTTAGGAGGATGATCAAGATGATGTATCCAGGTGGGCCCAACATAATACCAGAGTCTTATATTGCGCATGTAAGTGTATCTATCAACAATTAGGTACTCAAGGCACTAATGAATTTATTTTAAAGACAGGTAAGTAAAGTATATGAAATATGACACCCATTTTATGAAGCATCTTATAATTAAGAGTTTACAAGGTGCCGCGGGGCATTAAGCAACCACTGCCAGAAACACCAGGGCAAACCCCTTCTCTTAGCGATAAGTGTTACTGGGTTCTTTTCCGTGCATTATGCAACACACGGGACCTACAGCTTCATGTCCCATCCGAAGGACGAAGCAATAATGGTTCAGTGGCTTGCTTAAGGACACAAGTGTCGAGACCGGGACTCGAACCCACACTCTGCTGATTAGAAACACCAGAGAGCTTGAGTCCGGTGCTCTTAACCGCTCGGCCATGACACTCCACATGAGGTGATGTACTCTGCATTGGCAATCAGGCTGATATGCATTTGAACCAATGCATTACGTCACAAGAACTCTCAACCAATGAAATTTGACAATCTCATAAGGCCAAAAAAAATTGTTCTCCTTCCGATTACATGGCATTTGAAAATAGGGTGAGTAGGTAGGGAATTTTTCGTTTTGGGCATTTTTTGTGTGTGTACGATCATATGGAGGTGTCTGCGTGTAGTCAAGGATAAAAGGCAGCAATTGATGGTTTTGGGTGGTTTTTTCCCCTCATTTTTCCCACAAAAAATTAGGGTAGGGGCTGTCAGAATAGGGTAGGTAGGGAAACCGGAAGCAGAACTACATGTATATATTTTTGTTTTGCCTAATCTAAAACCATGTTACTGTTATAACAAGAAGTGGTAAGTACCAGTACTGGGTACTCCGCAGAGTCCATCCAGTCATCATGTGTCACAAACTTTTGCAGTTCATCTTGTGAACAGTTCCAAACCAATGAAATTTTACTCTTAATACCATTGTATTTATAAATAAGTATGATTGTTGAAAAAAGAAAAACTTAAATGCTGATGTATCTCAGTTAATAATTGCTTAGGAGTATGTTTTTTTTGTGGTCAATCTGCAATAGATGCAAATGCAACGGTCATGCCAGTGAATGCATCAACAGCACAGGAATCGACAACTCGGTGCGATTGGTCTGCCGCTGCGAGCACTTCACTGCAGGCTTGGACTGCAACGAGTGCTTGCCGTTCTACAACGACCAGCCATGGAGGCCGGCCACGTCAGATAATGTCAACGAGTGTCAAGGTAAGCAGACAAAGTGAACCAGTTTAATATAACCCTAGTCCTTCTGAGAGGGGGAGTGTGGCCTAGTGGTTAGGGTTTGTGGCTCAAGATCAGAGGGTCAGGGGTTTGAATCCAGCTGCTGGTCATATTGTTGTGTCCTCGGGCAAGCCACTTTACCCCACTTGCCTTCATCCACCCAGGAGTATAAATGAGTACTGGCATTAGCTGGGGAGTAACCTGCAATGGACTAGCATCCCATCCAGCATTCCAGGGAGAATAGAAATATTATCAGGGCCTGATTTCACGAAAAGCTACGACTTGTCGCAACCCGAGTTACGACGTGTAAAACGTAGCAACTCGCTACGCGTTGTACGATCCATTTCACCAAACTTGCGATGTGTTGAACACGTCGTACGTTCCATGACAACGGCTTAAAACACATCGCAAGTTACGGCTTGACTGATGGTCATCGCGAAATAAGAAGCGTCCTTTTCTTAGCCAGTTTTATGCCATAAAAATTACATAAATGAGACTATAATACCGAGACAATGTGTGTTAAGTTGCAAAAGGAAAATGCATTGAATAACTATGAACTAGCCTGGAATATTGCAGTTTAAAATACCAAAGTAGCTATCAGTCCTCTGTTGGCTTGTTTTCCGTGAAAATTGCATCACACGTTTGCCATTTTGTTTCACGTTTTGAAAACTTTTGGAGTGGAGATCTGACGACTGTTTGTTGACTGTCAGACGACTATTTACTGTATACTGAATAAAAACATGCAACAGTCACCGTATTGTGCTAGACATACAATGCCTTACACTTACGACGTGTTTTGTGAAATGGATCGCAGGACGTGTCACATCTGCGACGCATCGTAGGGATACGACACATCGCAGTGCTGCAGTGCGATGCATCATAAGTTACGATGAGTTTCGTGAAATTGGGTGCAGTCGTTTCATATCAAGGAAACTGATGTGGTTTGGGATGGGAATCATTTGCCCTTGAGCATCAAACCGAGGTCTTGCCACGATGACTGACAGCCAGGCAAATGATCCCAATCCCAACCGCAGCCTTTTTCAAAACAGGAAGGATTTTACACAGCTTACATAACACAGCACTGAACTTCATTAAAGCAACGGACTTGGTCCCAGTGTCCAAAACTGTGATCAATTGACAATTGCGCAGTGATGAGTGACTGAAATGAAATGAAACTCATAGGGGTTGAGGCCAAAGATAAGGATTATCACTACTTTCAATCATTTTCAAAATTGACTTCATGGTTTTGTAGTTATTTCAAAAATAGTCAGGCGGAAATTTTTGGGGGACATCCTTGTACATATGTCTTGCTACGATATTCCTAATAAGCCATTTGCGAGTGACAAACATGTACATGTATACCCTTTGGGATTTAAATTTGAAAAACATCTGGTACACTGACTTGCTCAGAATGCTTGGCACTTTTTAACTTTGAATTCTCCAGGCCAAAGACACTGTTGCTAATCACCTGATTCGGGGCAAGCTCTTGCATTGTCACATAAGGGACGTGCAAAGCATTGGGTTAAGTCGGCGTTCCAGATTTTATTCAAATTTAAAGATATAGTCCATCATTTGTAATTTGTGCATTTTGTTCATTTGAAGCAACAAAAGTGCTCAAAATCTAAAGAAGGGTACTGAACAACTAACCTGATGAAGTTTCAGCGCAGCTTCAGCTGTACGTGTAATATTCCGAGAAAAACAACATTCTAGGATCTCGATTTCAAATCAAAAGTTGCTGAATCATGTTTTTGAATTGGGCCTGAATTCAGCGTCCAAGACACGTTCTCACTGAGCCGATTGCAGCTACGCGATGTCCCGCACAGATCCAACGAATCAAAGCAACCGCGCGCGTGTGCTTCATGTCAACACTTGCGCCCACTTCGCCGAATAAAAAAAAAAAAAAACTACGAACTAACGCGTCTAAAGACGCACTGTTGGAAAGGCCTTCTTTCCTTGATTTCTTCAAAATGACGGTTTGCCAGAAAGACAAATTCACAGGGAGTTTAGTCCCCTCACTACCTTTCAACCAAGTACCGGCTATGTTTTTCAACACTATTACATGTCAGTTACTTTTTGGATAGCTGCAAATGATGGACTATAGCTTTAATTAAGGTCAGTGTAAAATATTTTATTCAATTTTACTCACAAATACCGGTAGCTTATTGCAGCGTTTGATATTTTAATACATGCACATGTACATGTATAACACATGATCATAGTACACTCATGTACAAAACCATGTGCCAGGGGGCACTTGAACACATCAAACAACCACATGCCTCAGGCCTCGTAAATTGCAATCCGTGGGCATTAATACCACCACAAATGTGGCTGGAGCCATCTGGAGGTCATGGGTGTTTATTCCCACCCACAGTTTTATGCCCGCAAAGCCAAAGGGCCACACTATTAATGTCTTGTACGTGTACTTCCATGTGTGGGTGTGTAAATCTGTGACCGGTTTCCTGGGGATAACTCCAGAACAACTTATGTGAACTTCAAGTTTCGTGTGTCGCAGGGTCTTTGGATGCATTGTAATCCCGTTGATTTTAGGCCCTGTGGGTCAAAGGTCAAGGTCATCAATGGTTATAACAAGTAGAAATGGTTTCAGCATGATATTTCAAAAATAACTTGTTACATCAAGTTTAAACTTGGTATCATGTACAGTGGTCCTCACAAAATTACACAGAGGCGTTGTTGAGTTTTTCATTAACAGATACGGTAGTCAGTGATGTTTGGGTGGGGTGTTTTTTTTTGGGGGGGGGGGGGAGCCCTACCGGTACATTGTCTTTATTTGGCCGGAAAATAGAACCATATAATGAAAGAGCGATGACCTTCGAAAGAATGTCATTATACAAAATGTAATGCCATTGAGCTGATGTACCGCTATTGGCCCATTGGTTCAGCAGGCAAGTAAATCTGGGAGGTACAATGTACCAGTACACTTTTCAGCATGTTTCAGTCAAAATTTTGCTTTATCCTACCCCTTATCACAACCAGTCAAGATAAAACTGCGTAATCACCGTCAAACACGTACAGGATAGACATCATGTATAAAAACAGCACAACTAAATTAAACATTATCCAAAATGGGGCATTTACATGTACACATATCGGTACACGCAGTCTTATTCACACCGTCAATTGTGGACGTCCTATTGGCCCTCTTTTGTTAACTTTTTAGGAACACTCCCATATAGTATGTTTTGTACACGACCCCAATCGCAGACGTACCAGTATGCTGGGAATCGCGGATGGTATTGTTCTCTTTCGTTCTCTGGCATTTCCGTCCATGGCTTGAATGCCTGAACACGCCCACGTACCGTATGCATGCTCCATGTTCCTTTTTAGTGTGTCCCCCCCCCCAATATATTTGGGCATATGGACTGGTTCCCGCCTCCTACATTCAGAGGGAGGGCTATGGAGGAGACCTGGAACCAGTCTAATTTACATCATACATTTTTGTAAACCTCAGTCAGATTTTAATGTACATGTACATGTACGGTACCGGTACATGAACATTTTGTCCCTGCTAATGTTCAAAATTTCCATGAGCATTACAGCTGGGGTTTCCCAATATAGAGGAGTGGTACCAGTCCCCTTCTTGATCCTGTACGTGATAACATCTTTCAGTGTCCAAAAAAATAGATCTCATTGCATTCTTTGGAGCTTGGGGGAGTGGAGGTGGAGAAATGGTGTCAAGTAGCCACACTGGGTCGTGACTCGCTCGGCATGTGACACAGATACTGTGATAACATATCATGGTAAAATCTTCTGGGCCTTTTCACATTGTGTATTCCTCGCATGAACAGTACGTGTAGATGGTGCTATGTGACAACTTTTGAATTCCCAGTGGGAAGGACACACTGCGTGCGCGTACTGGTCCAGTTGCGTAAAGCGTGAAGTACATGTGTTGTAACTTTTTTTCTGGATGTGCACATATTTGTTACATCTTCTTGTGAATTTCGGGCACTGTCAGTTATGTTTCGTCACATGTGTCCCTTCCAGTGGTCTTCCCCAACTCTCCCTTTTGTAACCATTGAGGGGGTACTACTCCTGCACGGTATCAGATGTACCGCTAGTCCTGTCTGCCGGTGTTGAATTCATCATGGGGCCACCATGAGCAGAACCATTGGTTTTTTTTCAGTTGGTTTGTGGTGCCCAAAATAGAAGGGGGAAAAAATAGATTTCGTTATGTGAATAAAAAGATATACTTTTAAAAGTAACACTTTTACACATTGAAAATTTATGAGCAAAGAAAAAAAAAAGGAACTTGTCAGAGAGCTCTGAGAGTGCATCTTTAATTGAGTACTATAAAATGTGTTTTTGTTTGAAAAGGGTCCCTTCTAATATGCCCTGTGCTGGCCTAAATTCCTTTCCACTCTGTGAACATTTCATGTAAATACATGTATGCTGCCCTCTATTGACTGGAAGCTACAAGGATCTGAGAAGTTGAGACCTCCGTTGATAAAGCTGTCTGCTGCCCTCCTACTAAAAGGTGTTGAGGTCAATCCCCTGCCCTTCTCAAACTGAGCACATTGTATGCTGCCCTCTGTTGGTTTTGAGTAGCAAAAGTTAGGAGGAAGGTTTTGAGGCCGTAATAAAGATGTCTGCTGCCCTCTGTTGTGCATTGATTAGTGTGATAGTGTGAATTGATTTTTAGAAGCCCCAAACAACTTTTTACGATACTATGAAAATAAGGGCCAAGTCAGTAAAGGTAATTTTCAATGGCAACTTGGAAGCCACCACATGTAACAAGTCAAAGGAAGCCACCACATGTAACAAGTTAAAGGAATCTTCACAATGAACAAATTACATTTTTCCAACAGTTTATGGAAATTCCTTAAACCATTGCTAGTCTGAGTAACTTGGACCGTACCGGTACTTAGGCCTATTGCCTTATTTTAACATTGGGACATGGGACATGGTCTGGCGATAGTAGGGTTCAAGCTGCATGGCCGCCATCGCGTGACACAATAGAAACGACC